ATAATTAATATACAATTATCTTAATTATACATAGTATTTATATTTACACGAATTTCAATGAATTCAAGTTTGAACATTATTTTCATTATTTACATCATTGTCATCATTAATTTCGACAATACTTAGATTATCTGTTCGTTCAATCATTTCATTGTATTCTAAAAAAGATACAATAGGTTTATGGTAACTGAAATAAGAAATAAAAATGTTTGATTGAAATTTATCTAAATATCGTATAAAAACAGCATCGATAGTCGTTTTATACTTTGTTGTACTGACTTTTCGATCATTAGACATAGTCAAATCTAATGTTTCATTCAAAAAATTCAATTAATGATAAATTTTTGTCATCTGCGAAGTTAATATTAAAGTCTCCGCTTAATATCATAGGTATGTCGTCAAATTTTTCGCCAAATCTTTTTCGAGTAATTCAGAACCTTCTTTTGTGTAAATCATTAAATTTTCGAATAAAAATTGTTCTATCTGTTGCATAGATTTTTCAGGAGATATATAAACAGCAACCATTAAAATGTATTGTCCATTTTCAGAATTGCAACGAGCAACGCATATTTCGCCTATGTCTGAAACATTAACACCAATCCCTCTAGTGAATTTAGTGTGGATGTCCATGTATGAAGTGACAATGTGTGATGTATCTTGTGTATGTTGATAAATAGCTACTCCTGCTGCTGGAACTTCAGGCCTTTTATAACTTGCAACAAAATTGAAATCTGGAATATGAATTGGTTCTTCATTTTTCATACGAGTTTCTGACAAAAGTAAAACATTTGATTTTTTTTTTTACAATAGCATCGTTTTTTAGATCAGTTACATGTGCATGTAAACTTTGGCAATTGAATGAAAATATAGATAATCCTTTCTTGTTAGAAATGAATTCAAGAAAAGTTTGGGTGACTGTTTGTAGTGTATTGTTTTTCAATCTTTTTAATTCTAATGTTAGATCTTCTCGATGACTTGTTGATCTCTTAAGATGTTTATCTGATTCTGAAGCATTTAAAGGTATTCCTGATCTACCAATCCAAAATTTCCAGCTGTCTTCAGTATTTTCTTTAGTAACCATAAATAAACCTTCAATCTTCGTCACTCTGGATAAAGCTACGTATACCAATTCTCTAGGATGTTTGCGATCATATTCGTAAACAATAGCATCATAAGTACCTCCCTGTGATTTGTGAATCGTCATTGCCAAAGCAGAAACAAGTGGAAAATGTTTTCGTTTCGCTATTATGGTTTTATTATTATTGAGTGCTACTGATGATGTTTGAGAAGTGATGGGCACAGCATCATCATCAAGATTGAGGCGTGCACTGAGATTTCTTAATTTTGTAGCTTGTTTTCGTCCACATGATTTTGGAAATTTTAACCAAATTCTTATAATATCACCATTCTCATCTCTCTCTACATGATACAATCATCCAAAAAGCGTCCAACGCGCACATAATACAGTCAGAAATAGTCGATGTATTAGTGTATACGTGTACACAGGCCACTGCGCGTGCGCTAGTCTGGCTCTCCATAGCTATAGATATACTATTATCATTAGCATGTCGGTGACGCGAACCGAGGATTTTACCCTCTACCAAAACGCTCAACGCGACTAAAGAAGTTTTCACTTCAACAAAGCACGTATTTTATATCTAACAAATTACACAAACAAACAATAACTTCGTAAAATTGAATTTTACAATAAATGAACATATTTCATAAAATCTAAAATTATTATAACATTTTTTTAATTTTCCAATTTTAAAATCCACGAAAAAATTTTATCAAATAACTAGAAATCTATTTTACCACGCTAGTAAGATAAATCTTATACCGTAATAATACTCATTTCATGATGAAGAGGTTAAATATTAAAAACATAATTAAAATGAATAATGCTAAATTTTAAATACAAATATTCGTACAAATATTAAAAATGTTTAAAAATATATTCGTTGTTTTCATTATTCATTTATCTGTATAAAAATATTAATATGTTTCATACTCACTTTTATACTGAAGTCAATGAATTTAAATTCAATAAATAAACAGTAATCCTTCAATTAAATAATTACAATAATAGTCAAATTAAAAATTCACTTAAATAAACAAAATCCAGTACACACAAGTTGAACTTCCCACGTGGTCAATTTAACTTTACTTATGTATATAACTACACTCTAATACTTAATGTACAACGCGTCACATTTACAATTACAGATGTACTGCTACTATAACGTATTGGTGACGTGACTCACAAAATTATACTTATCCAAAAAGCGTCCAACGCGCACATAATACAGTCAGAAATAGTCGATGTATTAGTGTATACGTGTACACAGGCTACTGCGCGTGCGCTAGTCTGGCTCTCCATAGCATGTCGGTGACGCGAAACGAGGATTTTACCCTCTACCAAAACGCTCAACGCGACTAAAGAAGTTTTCACTTCAAAAAAATGAGAATTAGTAAAAAGTGAACGATTTATTTTACCAGTATCAACAACTTTTAAATATATACGTGAACCCTTAACTACCTTAAGTGCTACCTTCATGCTCAATTCTCCCCATTCAACGAGTGTCCGCGGTAGCCTAGTGGTGAAGGTAACGAACGCGTGGCCGGCGTGTCATGAGCCCAATACCGCGGAAGACTCGTCCCTTGACCCAACTGACGAGATTCGTCACCCAAAGTGTTCGAGTGACTACGTGTTCGACGTGAATATTTCCCATTTAACGAATTCTTCCGATTTTCAGTAGCATAAATATTGAAAAAATAGGACCGCGCTTAGACTCGAATAAATACAATGTTTAATAAAATGTTGTCTTGTAGAGTTTTTTTAAAGTATGCAGAATTTTTTGAGAGAATTTTAAAAGTATCTAGAAATTGCTAAGTTTTGTTAATTAGACATAAATCCCCGTTTTACGAATTTGTATTAATCTTTTAGAAGTCTAGAATCGCAATGTTTGAAAAAATCAAAATGTTTAGTTTATAAAATACGAGTTTGAAACATAAACTTGAATGGATTAATTTTTTTTAACGTTGGACTCTTTGAAGCTGCGCGAGAGCTTTTGGGGTCCAAAACTTGATTCCGTGACAAGGTCTTGACATGAGTGAGCCCTCTTCCTCTAAATTTCCACACCACGCTAACGTAACAACTTTGCATCTCGACAATGATTGATTGATTGATTGAATATTAACGTCGCACTGTTCAGCTACACGAGGGCTTTTGGCGACGGACCACGTAATTTTGAACCATGGTCAAGTGACGTGGACGCTGCATCTCGACAAGGGGCCTGTTTAACTGAGTGGTTACCAAGGCGTGGGTTCGAGTCTTAGTGCCACTGAGGATCCGCTTTGTAGAGGTTAAATTTGCTCAAGTTCTCGCTTGGGTTGGTATTGAAGTTTGGAGAGGGAGATGCGATAGCTTTGTGACGGGGCCTTATCGTGCCTTCTAACTAATCCTCTTGGGGAATCTTTGGGGCCAGAATGGTATTTCAATTCAACATTCTCAAGAAGAAAACGCGATATGCAGATTAGGGAATAGATACATAAGGGGGCTTTAGCGTTCACGAGAGTCAGATAAGAGTCATATGGAATTTGGCTAGAAGCCGGAAAGTTGAATAGAAGCTGGATAAAGTGGGATAATAATAATATAAATATAGAAGATTAATATTAAAAGAATAGAATACAAAGGGAAGACATAAAGCTTGGGTGCTGATCACCGTGTGATATTGGTAATAAGATTAATTATTAAAGTTTAATTGTAGAACGGATCCTAGCTGGTTAAGCAATCTACTATAGATAAAGATTCGGAGGTTAATTTCTCATAAAGATAGTGAGTAGGGTTTCAGGCGCTATTTTAACTTGGAATTGATAATTACGTAGCATCACTTCTGATCTGATTCCTCTCGTAAGATTTGTGTTGCATTGATTAGTGCATATTGAGACAAATAAATTCGATTTATTATGGAGAGTTGGAGTGGTCAATCATTTATTCCTACAAATCTAGGTCGCGTGGATGAAGGGATGATACCCCAGGGCAGGGGGGCTTAAGTGTAGTCACCTAAGCTAGGTTCAAAATGACGAGATCCGTTGCCAATAGCCTTCGTACATAAAAGATCTAACGACGATAAGAGTTTTTTTAATGTTTCATTTTTATATTTGCATTTAAAATAATTTTGCACATCGCGTATTTTCGGTTTGCACCGCGCGAAAAATACTTTTCTTTAAAAAAATATTTTTATTCTAAAAATAAATACTTTCACTCTAAGGATTCAAAATATACATTGAATTTCGTACGTTCGTTGATGTGGAGGGAAAAATGAATATTTACAGCTTTCTTTTTGTTAAAAGGTAAAAGTCGAATTCGAGAGGATTTTCAAAACTGAAACGAGTCCTTAGATATAAATCAGCCCTAGAAGATCGAAACATCATTAAAAGTTCCTCCTTTTCTTACAAAAATCGAGTAAAGCTCGAGGTCATTTAAAAAAGCATTCGTCACGAAGTAATCAGAAAAAAAAATGAATTACAATATGGTTTGACATATTTTGTTGCCTAGAATTCTTTCAACTTTTGGATAGATGGAAATATTCTTAGTATATATGCAGATTAAATATGCACACAGATGAAATTCAACTTGAGTGTGATTTTTTAAGATTAAAATAATGTTTATATGTGAGCTCAAAAAATCAATTTTTACCGCAACGATAAACAAGTAATATTAAAAAAAAGGTTTTTAATTTTCAATTCCTACTTAGGTCAGCAAAGAAAATTTTTATTTTACTTTTTATTAAATAGTTACAGTTAATATAAATATGAATATACATATGACAGAATCACAATATTATGCGACAAAACAGAAAGCGGTTTTCCTTTCTCCTTTCTACATAGGATGGACTATTTTTTGTTTGTGTGTTGCTGTTTATTCATTTATTAAATTTAATTATTCTAATAAAATAGGATAGTAGAAAAAGAAGGCGCATTATCCGGAATTAGGCCATCCCAGGTGGGATTCGAACCCACGACCTTTGGATGAGAAGTCCAACGTGCTAGCCATCACGCTAACTGGGACACAACGAACGATTTTTTGCTATAAATGCTGTTGGACTATTATTTTTGTTTACTATTTATTCATTTTGTTCTTTAATTGATGAATTTATTTTTGAAAAAACTGTATTTTAACATCAAATGTCATCCGCTACAAGTTTTAAAAAATGTATTTGAACTTGAATGGACGAATAGAAAGTATTTTATTAATGATTGTGAAAATTTGAAATAAAGATATATATGGAGAGAGTAAACTAATAGAGAGTAGGAATTGAAAAAAAGTGTTTTGTTCTCCATGAACTTATAACAACTAGTTTATAGAATATAGATTCTGTCAATAAATTAAGAAATATTATGTGCTTAAAGTGTTTTAACATTTATGGTTAATAATTTGTTTTTCATCGAACCAAAATATTTTATTTTCAAATCATATTGCATAGATTAGTTAAAGCATTAAGGGAAAACGGGGGAAAAAAACGAAAGATGGATTTCAGTGTTTTTTTCTTGGTCTTTAGATGGTAGTAAATTTGACGTTCAAAGAAGTAGTTTCCTTTTAGATAAGAATTTGCAAATTTTACTTAATTTTTAACATTTTGACTTATTGTGTAGGCTTATTGTGTAGTTTTTGAAATTCAGTAAAAGAGAAATAATATAATACAGATAAGAAATGAATTTAATTACACACGTGTGTTTAACTGAAATCAAAACATCTATTTCAAAATTACTTTTCCTCAGAAAGATTTTTATATAATTCATCATTTGATTATTTTAATACAATTAGGAATGTATGAAACGTTATGGAATTTAAAATGTCCCTTTGACTCAGGTGCAAATATGATGCAACCTTTTTTTATTTAACACATCGAGTTACATAATTTTCTATTCCAGTTCTCTTGAGAAGGCTTTTCTGTAGTTTATTTTGGTTCAAATTCCTCCAAAATCCTTTTTTTTAATTATCTGCCTAACATTAGTATAGGAAATAAACTTCAAAATTAGCTGTTAAAAAGTTCCCCACATCGTCAGATTTTACAGCAATACTGCATTTTCCATCAACTGGCATACAAAAGCTAAATCATATAATGTCTTAGGAAGTTTAAGAAGTTTTTTATGTTTGTGTGTGAGGAAAAATTGAGGTATTTTGGATTGAAAGGAAAGCGCTTTTATCCTTCCTTAAGCATCGCTCAGCGTTCTCGTGTTGCTGCCGTTTTGTTTCGGACAGAATAACATGCAGAAAATTTACTTTATATAGGAGAAAAGCGACTCATTCACTCACTCATCACGAAATCTCTGGAATGATTGGATCAACAGACTTGAAATTTGGCATACGTGTTACTTTTGCTATGTAGAAATCCGCTAAGAACGGGTTTTACGAAAATCAACTCCCAATGGGGGTAGCATGGATGTAATAACAAAATTCTCGTTCATGAACTATTAAACTTTCAGATTTGAAACTTATATAACATGTTTCTTTTCTGTTGAGTAGAGATCTACTGAGAAAGGGTTTTGCGGAAATCGACTCCCCAGAGGGGTTGCGAAGAGTTACGGAAGTGTTATAGATAAAAAATATTCCCGCTTTTGAACGATTAGACCTACAAATATATTTGGAGATTTGTAAGCTTGTTACTTTTATTGAGTAGAGATCCCCTGAAAATATAGTTTGAGGAAACTGAAACAATGGGTGGAGGGATACAGGGGTGTGAATGTTAAATATATTTCTGTTTTAGAAATCCAAGTCCTGTTTATTTAAATCAAGAGGTTATGACTAAGAGGTCAACACAATCGAAGCATAATGCCAGGACTTAGATAACAATGATCTAAAAAGAGTGTATTTTGCTACGTCATAAAATACTTAGAGAATTAGAAGGGTAATGGCTTGTATATATTTATTTATATATATATAATTTGCATTCAATTAAAATTGTAATTTCATTAAGCAAATAGTTCCAAAAACTGGAAGGAGTCCCGATTTTAAATACACAATTTCTTTAGTCGAGTTGCTTCCTTATAACAATCCAGAAACGTCTTAAGATTTAAAAGCTATCCGCTATTTAGCAGATAGCTTTGTCTATCGTGACCTAGACTAGTGAAAGCTTAACTTACTGAGTCGGATTTACGAAAGGCGTGAATAGAAGCTTAACTGGATAAAACCTTTACTCCTCATTAATGAGAAATGTGAATAAAGGCAACTTGAGGTCGAGTGATGCGAAAATAAAAATTCTCCTTCATGGCCTACTTATCAGAGTCTCCAACAAATTAATCCACCCGGGCCTGGATATTTGTTTGTTTCATGACCACCGAATCCAAATGCTAATGTTGAATACATTTTAATTTCCTTTTCGATCTAATTGCTTTTCTATTAGAGATGTCATTAAGTATTTAATCTCTTCATCTGACGGGGGATATTTTCCCTTTCCAGACCTTCTAATAAGGTCTGTCACTTCCTATCCTTCAGTCTTTCCATCAAGCGGACTTTCTTAATGGTTCCCAGGAATACTTGAAATGGGATTTGGTAGAAAATAGGTCATTTAAAAAGGAGATGTGGGTGCAACTGAAAGACTTCGGGTAATTTGAATCATTTCGAAAACGGGAAGACTTTTTGAATAAATTTTGTCCATTGGATGCCCCATTCTTCGTTAAAAAGTATATCATTTTTTTTTTTATTTCGAAGAGATTCGAAGATCTTCAGAAAAAAATCTTTAATTATAGATAACGTTAAACAGACATACAGACTGAATTTCAATTTAAATTATTATAATTAAGCACAGCAAACCTCTCCTTTTTTACCTATTTAAATAACTATATTAAATTATTAAAATTTTCATTATCACCTTTGAACAAGCATTTTTAAAAAAAATACCACATCTTTGTTCCTCTATACTTTCGAAATGCTGACTTCTTAGTGATTTATATGTTATGGTCGAGAAGTTTTGATACTTCTACACAAACCCTTGGAACTTTTTTGTTTTTGGTGTGTTTTCTCGGCACCAGGTAACGACTCTAGTTTAATTTAGTCCTGTACCTAACGATAAGTTTGTTAAGTCAAAGAACTTGATTGAATATATATGGAATGAAAAAGCAGAAAAAAGTTTGGGTTTTAATACGTTCAGTATTGAGACAAATTGGTTTCGAAAATGCATGGCCTAACTTAAATAGAAAAATATTGATTTGCTCAAAAAAAGGCATTTAAAATTCTTTAAGCAATAAAATGAGCTAAATGCGAGCAATTTTAATAGTTAAAATTTGTGAAATTCTGTAAAAGGAATCCAATATATATATATATAATAGAAAACTTAAAACAAATTCTTTTAACCCATTGCAGTTTTAACAACGTTATAGAATCCAAACTTCCTTGTACTCTTTTAGAAGTGAGTGAGACATAATAAGGCTAGATATTATTTGTATTACAGTAATATGTAAAACTCAAAACAAGAAGGAAAAGTTTCCTCAATACTTTTTCTATTAGAAGTTACTGATAAGGGAAAAACTATGTGAAATTTATTTTATTTTCATATTATATGGCTCAAATCTTGTACATTTATATAATAAATAAATATTGCAGTAGACGCTACCAAGAAATTCAATAAGATCAAAGCAGACAAATTTTAATAGATGTTGTGTTAAATTGGCATTTTTTATTATAAATGTGTTTTAATACACTTTAAGATAGAAAAAATAAAGATGAATAAAAATCGCATACAGCAAGGAAATATTTACAAGGTTTTACTTCAAACAAGTGAAATGGAGATATGGGGAAAATGTCAATGCATTTTTGGTTAAATGACAAACAAGAGATGATTTAATTTTTCATCGTTTTCTTTCATATTGCAGAGGGGCCGCAGTAGCCTAGTGGTCAATGGACCGGATCGTGGCTGCCATGTCACGAGTTCGAGCCCAGTACCCCTAAAGACTCGCCGTGGATAGGAGCGATGCTCATTAAATATGTCGAAGCTCAAACGTCCTCCCGTTGGTGTGATAGTGAGGAGAGGGGGATGCCAGCTTAGACGTCACTTGCCCGTGGTTCAAAATGACGTGGTTCATCGCCAAAAGCCCTCGTGAGTGCGTTAATATTCACTCACAAACTATTAATATTGTACCCTGGAATCGATACGTTGTCTTCAATGAAGACACGGAGATCTGTATGCAGGCCAAGATAAATCAAATCGGGTGGACGTGACTTGAATGGTGGAGCAGTTAAAATAGTGCTATTTTTAATACAAACTTTATTATTATTATTTTAGTGTATAATAAGTAATTCCAGTGATACATATAACCTGGCGCACTGATTCATTCTCACGTAATTTAACTTCAAGGAATCATTTATTTTATTACACTTTAAAGTGAAAGATAAAAATCGCGTTAAAATATATAAAATATTTCTATTTGTGAATAATATAGTACCTTTAAAATTAAATTAAACTTCACCCTTATCTTTATTATTTCTTGCACTTTTATCTTTCTCAAAGTTAAATTTAGCACTTTTTGTTACATAGAAAGGAAACAAAACTCATTTCAAGAATTTTTTTCTCATGTAAAAGAAATTGACCAAGACATATATTCTGGAAATATGAGCAAGTCACACACATACTGATATAAAATTGACAAGAAAATAACAGAAAAAAAATTAAAAAATGGGATATTAAATTAAACCGAATGAAATATTTTTCTCTCATCTCACGTCCTGAACATTGTATCTTTCCATTAAGCTCCACGTCGTAAGAAATGTCGAGTAGAGTGGAATGTTTTTTTTAAAGTATAATGAAATGAAACTCGCGTTTTCTTTTATATCGTTTATCTTAATATTAATTTTTTCCTTTCCTGAATTATTTCTAACGACGAATTTAGAAAACCACTCGAAGAGGAGCTCATACATTAATTTTCACTCCTTTATTATCTAAAGTGCTCTCTTTCCCAGCAGATAAAAGAGGGCATTCGTTTTAAAATAGAGATTCTAATAACTGCTCTCCCCGATTGACCTCGGCATTTTCTTGGGTATTTTAAAGGCCCGCTTTAATTTTTATCGCTCAG